TTCTGTCCCGCTACTTGACACTATTTCCCACATGCATGGGTTGACTGGAAGAGATCTCTTATAGAGATAAGTCCACCTTTGTCCACGTCATTTTCTATGTATTTTTTTTTATTACATGTTTAGTGCAATAAAGAATATAATATTACATAATACTACATAAACAAAAATTTAGATGAATTGAGTATCTCTTCTTTAAAGTCTGTTAATAAAAGGTATCATTCATCGCACAAGAACGTGCCTTTGCCCTCTTATACTCCTCTATTTTTCGGGACAATTTAGGACATCTGAATAAGGTTCGAACCAAAATAAAGATAGTGTCATGCTGAAAAACCGGTAACCAAACTGTATCTCGCTTCACCGGTTTTGAATGCAGCACTTCATCTTAATGAATATTAAATTAAAGTACACCAAAATGTACAATTAAAATTCGGCGTTGAATTGATTCGCAATCAATAAAGCATTTATTGTATTATAAAATTTCATTTAGGCTCCTACTTTCAAATTTATTGAGCTATTTCGAAGATTACCTGATTAGATGAAAATATTTTTAAAAATTGCAAATAATTTTAATAAAATGCAGTTAGTTATTTTAAAGTATCTACAGCTTGTTGTACCTGGGCGAACGAGCTTCGCTCGGCCTTTTTCGGGAAAAGTATAAAATTGCATATTTTCTTAAAAGATATAGATAAACTAAAAAAGCAACACCTTATCTATACTAATATTATAAAGAGGTAAAGTTTGTGAGTTTGTGACGTTGTAGGGGGTAATCTCTGGATCTACTGAACTGATTTAGATGAAATTTGGTAAGAAGATAGTTTGAGACCCTCGGAAGGACATAGGATCACATTTTATCCTGGAAAACATCCCTTAGGGGATGAAAATGGGGTTGAAAGTTTGCATGGGGAAGCAATCTAGAAAACTAAATATAAAATTGATCCAAATGGTAGAGCCGTTTTCAAGATAATGAAATAAAATATATATACAAGAATAATGCTCTTTTAATATAACAAGATATGTATATAAATTTAGAAAATGATGTTGAATATAATTTAAAAAATATATAATCACACAGTACTTTTCCCCATTACATAACAATCCAACACTATGGTGGGTAACTTTCTTCAATTGAAAGCTCCTAACATATTAGTGACATCTGCACAGTGCAGTAATCAAAGAACTTCTATATATGATTCATTATGTACTTATTTTTATTTATAACCATCTCAAGTGTAATGTCATCGTAATAATTGTTATTTGTTTCTTTATAATAATATATCTTAATTCGTAGTATGACTCCTACGTTAATTTTCAATGAATCGTTGTGAGATAATGTTCGATGACAGATGACGTAGATCTTTGTAATAGATATATTAAATTACAATGGAGATCTTGTATTTATTTTTTACGTATGCCGTAAAACTGAGCATTTCTGGCAAAATTATATTCTCTAAATAATTATTATTATCTATGATTATTTATGTTTTAAAGAGCTTCACTGGTGAATTTCCGCACTTAATATCTTCGTAACTGATTTCAATCTCTCTGAGATTAGACAGCAGCGCAGGAGATATTACAGTGCATGCACAAAACAAGGGCACTCTATTCCTTTCACTCTTAAACTTCGGTGAGACACAAAAGAGAATCGATGCAAGATCAGTCTCCGAGGCAAGGGAGTAAAACTACCCCAATTTCCAAACCCCAGAGTTGCTATTAAGATTTTTTTTAAAGAAAAACCCAATAACTATACTTGCCCGACCCGAGATTCGAACCCATCCCTCCAAATATTCACACACATGTACTAGCCAATATACCAACAAGGCACTTAAATCTTTAGCACTTACAGTAATATTTAGTATTCAAGTATAATTTAATATAGCAATAATGTAAGTGAAACATACATACATATATATATACATACTTAGTATAAATATAGCTATTAATTATAATATATTAGGTCTGTTCATGTACTATAATGTGAACAAATCCCAAGAGATCACCACCGTCGATCGTAACGGTGTTCGAAGTAAATTAATTTTAAGCACAGCTTTAAGTCTCACATCTGTATGTTCGGCAAAATTCAAAGATAGCATTCCGAGATTAAAATTTTTGCGAAACAAGTATGGTCATTCTTTTCTTCGTATTTAGTACTAAGTAATAATTAATAGTAATTTACACGGGTTTATGTTTCATTGGTCTTAAGAAGGTTAAAAAAGTACAATAATAATAATTATTAAGCAAAGAGAGTCCTCTCTTGGCTTTATAATATATAATATAGTTAAAGTAGGTATATTTCTAATTTCCTTTATATTATATTCGATAATACCTAATCTTATAAATTATTATTAGGTACATATGTATGTATATCTTACTTCTAGCTATATATATAATAACTTCGTGATGTTAGTACGTTTTCCAAACAATACCTATTATTTCTTAGTTAGCAACAATATAAATAGAAATGTGTGATTTGCAATCCAAAGTGTTTGCAAGTCGTTGTTATTTTCAGCGAATTTGACCGACTTCAAAGAAGGAGGAGGTCCTCCTCGAGTGCGTTTTTGCGTGTATACCGCGCGATGACTTTGCTAACTTTAATGGAACTTTAAATTAAACTTTACATTAATATAGCTTATATGTATATCAGAATAACTCATAAGCAACTTTTTATCCCGAAAAAATGTACGATTTCCGTGGGATAGACTTGTTTTATTTTTCTAGAGGCGAAACAGAGCAAAGCGAGGGTGAAGCGCTAGTATTTAAAAAAAATGTATATAATATAACGTCTGTTTAAACGTTCGCCGCCACACAGTAATTGTTAAAAAAATATAATATCGTATTCGATATTGATTATAATTAGGTGATCTATGCTAATCTATACTAATATTATAAATGAGAAAATTTCTGAGTATGTATGGATGTTTGTTACTCTTTCACGCCAGAACGGCTGAACGGATCTGGTTGAAATTTGGCACAGAGATAGATTAAGTCTGGAATAACACATAGGCTACATTTTATCCCGAAAAAATATACGGTTCCCGTGGGATAAAGTGATAAATTTGTTTTTGTTTTTCTAGAGCTAGTCAGAAATATTAATTTATGTGTATTCAACCTACGTTGTAGTTATTACATCAAGAATTTAATTTAGATGTTACGTTTGATTTAAAAATAAAACTAAAATAATAGCACGAAGATTGCATTTCAATGATGCGCTAATACAAAAGTAAACAGCATGTGTCTAATATGATCAATCACTCGCTCGGTTATGCATTTAGCCTTGATTCCTGTATCGTCTTAGTCATCTTTTGGTTAGACCAATCTTAAGCCTAGACGGTAAGAGATAAAATATATGGACGCGGCCTTTAAAATCTAATTTTATTAATGAATATGAATAAATTATGTAATTGCTAGTTCTTTATTTACGAATAAAAAAAAGGTTAGTAAATATGTGTAACTTTTTAAATTTTTTGGGGCTCAGGGGTTTAAAAGAGCAACTGTTGAGTTTTTAGCAAAACTGCCTTTCGAGTCGGCGGTAGAATTCTTACGGGCTTACACTGACTTTTAGTTTAAATTTAAAAATATAACGACGATTCAAAAGTTCTTATTTTAACGTTTTCATAAGTCTTTTTAAATAATGTATATTTTGATTTGATTTATCTATAACGTATTAAACTTTTTTGTTTATTTGTTATAGAATACCAAGTGGCAAGTCGTGACATAATTTAATTAAAAATATACATATTAGTGTATGCACAATATCAATTGACATTAGAGATAAATTAATTTTAGATACAAACAGTGGTTGGTGGTTTGTGGTTGTTGAAACCTATTAAATAAGATGATTGATCAATTTACCAATATAATTCAATTATACAACACAATGGTCTAAATATGTATATCTTAGAACTTAGATCTAATCATATCTGTACATATAATAAAACTTTAACTGATCGTTGTCAGTAAATAGAAGATATTTGAGAAAAACTATTGTTAGGGGTCTTTATTAACGTAATATAACCCAAAACAATGATTTTTAGAATTTTTGTCTGTGAGTCTGTGCATTTGTGCGCGCTAATCTCAGGAACGGCTAAACCGATTTGGGTGCGGTTTTCACTAATGTATTGTGGTGAGTCTCGCTTAGCATTTAATATTTGTTTTATTTCAATTGGTTCATAAATAAAAAAGTTATGTCAATTTAAAGAATCATCATCGAACCCAAACCGAACCAAACCGACCGAAGCGAGTTTAGTCGCTGGTTTATATACATATTATATATGTACATATATGTATGAATTTTTACATAAGTATTTAATTTAGACCAATGAATTCATACTTTAAAAAGCAGGTACTAACAATTTTTGATATCATAAAAAATATTAGTTCATACGCTTCATTAATTTTTAGGTCGTATATAAAAATAATATATTGTGGAATTTACGTTATATTTGTTCAAGAAACGTTTATGTGTATATTTATATTGTTTGCCATAAAGATATATAGCAATTGATTTTGTAGAACCATTAAATACGAGATAATAACAATGACTAGTTAGAATTTAGAATGGCCATATTGCACAACAGTCTCGGTCTGCCAGAGCATTAATAGCAGATTTGATTCCCGTTGAGGGAAATTATTTATGTCTATAGTCTAACCACAGCATGCGTATCTCTTAGTATCTTTCAGCAATAATTCATAAGAGCTACTTAATCGTGTAATTATAAAAGGCACATTCCTTTAAAAACATCATCAATCTTTTACTCATTTACAAAAAAAAAGTATTCATAATGTATTTTAGTCCAAATTCCCATTTTTGCATGATTTTTTTTGTTTGTTTGTTTGTTTGTACCGAATATGCTCCGAAACTACAGGACCGATTTAGATGAAATGTGGTAAGAAGATAGTTTGAAACCCTGGGCATGCATGGGCAAGCATATGGGATAGTTTTTATCATTACATTGGCTTTAAATTTTATTAAAATTAATTTTGTTGCAGAAATTCAAAAAACAATGGAACCGCTCGTTGTTGATGTCGTCCATTTCTATCCTCGAGAAAATGCACAGCCCCATAACACCGTCAAGTGAGTATTAGCAGTTGAATAAAATTGTATACTAGTGATAAGAGTGAAGAGGCAAATCCATACTTAGTTCTATACTATATAATATTATGAATTTAAAAGTAGTTTTTATACTCAAATTATCGAAGAGCCTTTGATAAAATTTGGCAAGGACAGATTTCATCCGGGGATCGGACATAGGCTTCCCTTGAACTACGCCACGCCTAACTGTTATCCCCCCCCCCCCTTAATAGATGATTTCTGGGATAAAAAGTATCCTGTCCTTCCCAGGGTCTCAAACTATCTTCTTCCCAAATTTCATCTAAATCGGTTCAGTAGATCCAGAGATTACCTCCTACAACCTCACAAACTAGTTAATATTAGTTTATATAATATTAATAATTAAACTACGTGTGCATAAATACTAAAGCACATACCGTACGCACGCGCAACATGCTTATAATAGAGCTACAATCTCTTCGCACTTTATAGTCTGGAATATTATTAAAAATATTTGATAAAATTCATACAGAATGCTCCAAGCATTTGTTTTGTATTTCACGTTTTGTCTGTATGTATGAAGGTTTGTTTCATATCTTTTTTATTAGTAAGTATAGCATTGTACTAAAAGATACAAATTTTCCTAAGGTTCGAAGTTGTAAACGACGAAAATCCGACCACAGCCATAGTGCGTCGTGGTCAACCCTTCAACGGTGTGGTGAGATTCACACGACCTTTTGATGAAAATGAAGACACTGTGCAGCTTGTGTTTACACTCGGTTAGTATCGAAAGCAATGTGATTTATATTCTATAGAATTAAGTGAATATAAAATAGCGTGTGTGTGTACTTATGTACGCACGTAAGAAATTATACTTCTTTGGCGTAACAGAACAAAAATAGCTAAGGATTTCGTCCCGTATGTCATAACTCTCTGTTTGTTAAAAGGAATGCAGCTAACTTCATCATGTCGCTTTTTGACTGTCAGTCAGGTGGTTATCGCCAAATAAACTAACTAGTTATAAATATTTTTTAAAAATTTTAATAAGCATTACAGCGTAGCAATATTTACTTTTTTAAATAAAAATGTAAAAAATAAACATGGAGAGATATTTAATTTGACAAATGAAACGAAAAATAACAAAAGTTTTTTTTTATTATATTGTACATATTTTTGTATGTTGACTGTACCCCTGTCTTATGTCGCTATAACTTGTAAAGCATGTCAACTGTCAAGACTGATTGCTTCGTATTGAATATAATAATAAAGATGGAGTCATTTCGATCATTATATGTCAGAATATTAAATAGAAACCGTTTATATTAATAAAACCTTTAATTATTATCAATTTTACTATTAACCTACGATTATCGCTCTTCTTCGCGCTTATAAATAAGTATAAGCATATTTACAACATACACTTTCCATAAGATACAGCTTTTCCTTTAAAAAATAGATGCAAAATAATAAAAAATAGAAAGAAAATATAAAAGTACGATAAGAACATGAGGCTAAATTGATTCAGCAGTGATGCGTTTACCACCGAACGGCATTTCAGTTTTATCTATGTAATATACGAGTATAAATAGGCATCATACTAAACATAGTGGTTCACCTGTACCTTTTTCTCCTGTTTGTCAACCATTTTCTTTCTTTTTTGTATAGTAGCTATTAAAGAGCTTTATGTCCGATTTCACCAACAACCCATAAGCTACCACCTACGTATGGGCTTAAAATAGCCCCTAGCTTAAAAGTCCCCTAAACTAGCTCCTAAATTAAATTTCGTTTTACGATCGTCTTTAAGCCCATATTTCGAGTACCTAAATTTAGGGGGCCTTTTAATATTTAGGTGACCCCTCCCCTAACTGTCGGTGTAACAGAAACTGTCCCCTAACAGCCCCCTAACCATGCTTAGGGGATCCCTCAAACTTAGGTGACGTTGGTGAAATCAGCCATTAGTCTTCTTTTTCTTCTCCCTGCCCATTTCCCAATCACTTGGGGTCGGCGCAGTACATCTTCTGTACTGCTGAAAGGATTTGGCAAAAGTTTTACGACCGGCCACCTGTCTTACGTCAACCCCCCTTGGGAATGCTATTGTTTATCGCGGAAGTCTTATAAATACCCGTGAAACATACCCCCAGTACCTCCCTTTGCAAGAATACGTATATTATATAGATAAATTCTATCATATACGTTTTACACAAATTTTCAATTATATTGTCAAATTTTGACCACTGGGGCAGCACTAGTTTAGATAGTTTATTCTTAATGCCTATCTTTAATACTCAACTAAATTACATGTAATTTTATTTGTTTAGGAGATAAGCCACAGATGGACACACAAGGCTCTATGTTTTTGAAGAGAGATGTGCTTCCTGATAAATATTCTTGGTACGCTAAGATAGTGGATGTGCAAGGAGATACAGTTTCATTTGAGGTTAGTATTTTAATTATAACATAAACCTACACACACATAACCATTTTCAGTAAAGCTGATATTTTCTAGTTGGCTATTTTTTTTTTGTATTAGGCATATGATTTTTTATGTAAATTCGTAGATAGCGCAAGAATATAATATCTAATAGTAGGATAAGTATTATAAAATTAGTATTTTTATTTAATAAAAATGATATTAATGAGAGATCAGAGTTCTTGCAATTTGAACTATTTTCTTACATAATCTTGTTCGTAGATAATTTATTATTACATAAATATAGTAATAATTTTTAAAATTAATATATTTATACTATTTTCTTAGGTTTATGCGAATATTGCTGTCGGCGACGGAAAACTTATCTTCGAGTAACGTGTGTATTAATATAGGGACAATGTCATTTTAGCGTATTATGAATAATTGTTGTAAATATGAAATCTCATTCTTATTAGATTTATTATGTTACAATGTTCTAATTATTGTAAATAAGGTGTTAGAGTATTTTTTGCTATTTGAATCATATAAGACTATTTACATTAATTTGAAAGGAATAGGTACGTAAGTTAAAATGTTAAGCATATAATTCCGTAACTTGAAAATGAGATTTTTTGTTTCTTGCATAGCATAATAGTTTTATGTTTTTTAAATAATAGATTTTTTATAAACTTGATAAATAAAACAGATTAGGTCGATAGACTATCCGTTTCAAAGTTATAAGGGAAATGTATAGTAAAAATGTAGCAACCTAGAATTTTAGATATTTTTTGTTTTTAAGACTTTTTTAAATAATTATTATATATTGAATTTATGTGTTAATATTGTATAATAAGTCATGTAAGGCATGTAAATAATAAATATGTGTAAGGTGTTTACTGAAACAATAAATAAAAGGACTCTCAGGTTTCGGTTTAGGGGAAATTTTAATTCGAAAAATGAGCTCAAAGTACGCGGCTCTCTGTAAAGTTAATTAACGGCAAATAAAAGGCGAGCCATTTTTCGATTCGAGTCAGTCGCAGACAGCCACCGAAGAGGCAACACTAAAGGAAAAGGAAGAAGCCGAACCAAGAGAGAAAAAAAAAAGGAAATTGTGTTTTTATTTCATCGCCTCTAAGTATAGTCTCCTGTCAACGAAGAAACCCTAGTGGATCGTGACCCAAAGCTACGCCTCAGGGGTGCGTGGTGGGCGTACATTACCAGCGAAACGGACTATACTGCCGTGGTACGCCAAGAACGTCTGGGAGATTGTCCCAGGTCGACCTCCGGTACTAGACATACCCTGTGTCTGGTCGCCCGAAACAGTTGGTCCTTCGAGCCGGATCCCTGCTAGAAGAATGCGAAGAAAGAAGATTGCGTTCAAGTGCCGGAACCAGGTCGCAGAAGGATGCCCCCCTCACGTCCCGGGTCCCGTCCTTCAGATAGGGACGCGACAGATGGAAACGTCGGGATCAGAAGGGGTCACGTCAATCGGGGGGCGGGCGTCATCGGAACTGCAACTACATCGAACACTTCTTCGGTACCACGACCACGTGGCACCAGTGAGGAGACTCGGGTACGACTGCAACTACGGCGGCGTCTATGGAAGGCACAAGAAGATGCTGCCATAGGATGGTCAGGAAGCAGAGCATTTACCTGGAAAGGATGTTCAAGGCTCCCCAAGACCCTGAAACCGATGGGTCAGTCGTCAGGGGGGGCAGGGGGGGGGGGCCATCCACGAGACCCGCGAGTTTCCCTCGGCCAGAAGACGCGAGTCTAGAAGCAAGGAAGATTTGGCACGCTGGTTGAAGCAGAGCACAGGCTGAAACTAAGCTAGCCCGTGTCAGTTGGAGATGGCACGTGTGAAGAAGAGGACTCCGTGGATGAAGACCTGGAGACAGACAGCACAGGTGCGAGACTGGATCGAGGACGTCTGTGCTGGAGGATGGCAACAAAGTTCAAGCCAGAGATGCGAGGTCCACACCCCTTGGAAGAGCCACAGAAATGAAGCTGAGTAAGGAACTCCGCAACGAAGGAGCTACGATTGAAATTCAAGCACTGACGGCACGATTTGAAGGAAGCTCGTACCACGCGAGGACCAGCTAGGCAGCCACCCTACATTCACGAGTTACCCTACTTCGACGGCAACGAGCAGCGAGTGGATGCCGTCAAGGTTGTCTATGAAGAACAGCACCAATGTTTCAACAACGCCAGATATGGCTCGGCTAAGAAGAGCACTGAAGGCAACGCAAGAGAACTATCAAGAGTCTGCCTGTACTCCGAAGCCTCTCCGATGGAAGTTGATTCAGCCCTCAAAGAATATGGAGACCAGATGCCCTGTGCTGGCAGAGTTGGACAAGGTCAAAACGTTGGCCGAAGATTTCTGAAACCCAAGGACGATATTCCTCTTCGCGAGCCAGATCAGCCACGGCGTAGGCGGCAATAAAAGATTGAAGAAACCACGTACCTGCATTCACCTGAGATGTGAAACAAATTATTTGAGAAGATTCCTACGATCCTCATTTCCGATGGTACGACTTCATTGAAACAAAGAAGAAGGCGATTCTCCGACCACACTGGTGTCCAAGTTCCTGAACATAGAGCAGACAGTGTGGAGCCTAATGCATCAACAGAAGAGAAGAGCGGTTCAGACGGACTCATCGCCAAGCAACAGCATTCACTAAGGAAAAGGACTTCAAGAAGGTTTCAAAGCAGAGAAGACTTGCCCCATGTGTGAGGGTGACACTTCCTTGTCGGGTGTCCAGAAGGTTCTGAAGGCTCTGTGCAGATCGATGGGCAATAGGAAGAAAGCCGCGTTTGCTTCAAGTGTTACAAGGGACACATCGGAAGGAGAGCTGCAAGAAGCCGTCGTGCAAGGAATCAGAGGTGGCATCATCCTCTGCTGCACGTCGAGACAGAGAAAATTCCTCGAAGAAGAAGAACAAACCACCAGAAGTGGCGAGCATCATGGCATCGGTGAATGCGGTCAACAACGCAGGGAGGGCATACCGAAGATCATTCCGATAGAAATCTTCGGGTCAAAAGATCAAGAAGATTATTGGCCCTCATGGATGAAGGGTCAACATGTCTCGCTGCTAGACCTGAAGGTAGCGAAGAAATCGGCGCTCATGGAAGAAAGGAGGAACTGGGTCATCGAGACTGTTGGCGGCAGGCTGATAAGGAAGGAAGACTCTCAGATGCTGGACCTTACGGTGAGGGATTCATCAGAAGACCAGAAGACTTGAGAAGAGTCCCGGACCCATCGACAGTTGAAGCTTGCCGCAGTTCCTAGAAAGAAAGGATAGAAGAGTTGTCCAACACTTGACGAGATTGCTGACTCTCTATATTATAAGGGGTCCACCACAGCTGCTCATCGGTCAAGACAACTGGGAGCTAATCGTGACTCAAGAAGGACGAAGAGGGAAACCAGGACAACCAGTCGCTTTCAAGAACAGGACTTGATGGGTGCTCGGTCAGAACACTGGAGGCGCGAAAGTGGTGCACTTCTTAAACACGGTCTACATGTCAGCACGCCAGAAGAAGAGAGCATCAAGCCCATCAAGGATCACTTCGCAATCGAAGCCTTGGAGTACCTACCAAGAAGACCCACTACGGATTCAGAAGGAAGAGCACTCACCATCCTAGAGAAGAACCCTGCAGAAGACTCGAAGATGGTCGATTTGAAGCCTGGACTTCTATGGAAAAAATGAAGATGAACACGATGCCTGAAAGCTACACGTCTGCCAAGAACCGATTGTTCAACATTGAAAAGAGATAGACAAATGACCCTCAGCTGAGGCGAGAATACAATAAGCCGATCAGCATCTAATGCGACAGCAAGTATGCAGAAGAAGCCCCCTGGTGCCAAGAGATTCAAGAAGACATGGTACCCCCTCAATTTCTCCGTGGTAAATCCATTGAAGAAGAAATAAGGTCTCTTCGACGCTGCAGCCAAGTCTAAGGAAGCTCAACGATGCTTTATTACCGGGACCAGACTATGCAATCGCTCTTCGGTATTACTGAGTTCCGGCAAGGCCGTTTGGCAGTGGCAGCCGACATAAAGGAAATGTTCCCTGCAAGTTCGCATCCGGCTCAGAAGAATAGAAACACTTGAAGTTCCTGTGGGTGTGGGGGGGGGGCGAAGGGGGGGGGATCGTCGTGACGTAGCACTCGAAGAGTACAGAATGACATCAGTCATCTTCGGCGGCGACATCATCTCCTAGCACAGCTGATCTACTGAAAGAACCGACGCGGCGGACTACAAGAAGCAGTACCCAGAGGCAGCAAAGGCATCGAGCTGACCATTACATGGCTGACTACCTGCACGCTCTTCAGAAGAGGACTTCAATAGAATTACAGCGCAGGTGGACTTCATTCACAAAAAGGCGGGCTTCGAACTCCGAGATGGGCGTCCAAACCACTCCGACATGCTGCAGAGTGAAGACTTGATTCAGTTGAGAAGACAGAGGTGGACCTTGTGAGAAGGAAGAGAAGACCTGTACTACGCTGGTTTAACAGAAAGGGACTCCATAGGCTTTAGGGCGACCTTCGAACCCCAGATGAAGTTGCACAAGGATCAAGGTACCTACGAAAGAGAGACGTCACCAGGGCCGTGTGTCGACCTTCGATCCATAGGCTAGCATCACCATTCTCATCCAAGGCAAAAGGCCTGCTCCAGAACATCTGGCGAAGTGGCGTCGGTTGGTTAGAATGAATAAAGGAGTACGAGTCATGAAGACTTACCGTGGAGAAGAGATCTGCTCCAAGACCTTCAGATCCCGAGATGTCTGGCACCACGTCCACCGAGGGGAGCTGCCCGTTCACGGATGCAAGCGAAATGCGTATGCAGCTACGGTATATTGGCGAACTGAAAATCAAAATGGGACTTATGACGTCCGCTTAGTAGCAGCAAAAGTAAGAGTCGCTCACGTTGAGCTGGTTTCAATCCCGAGACTCGAGCTGCAAGCGCCCTCCTAGGAATCAGATTGGCACACTCGTCGAGGAAGAAGTCTGAAATAGAAAAGGACTTT